AAGTGTAACAGCAAGCTTCTCAGGATGGACTGGAGCACCACTGGCACATCTGTCTGGAATTTCTCAAAAAAAAAAAAAAAAGGCGCCAGCTGTCTGCCGACAAATGAAAAAGAAGGTTATCAGTGGCCCCTTTTCCTGTACAGACGGGTGCAGATGATGGTACTTTGCTTTTGGGAGTTTCTTCTGATGTTCTGTTGCACAGCTGGCCACAGTTCTATGGCCCGCTCAGCAACTGCTTCAACCCAGCGATGGGCACAGAACTTCAGAGGTAGTTTGGTTGTTTTGGTCACCTCAGTGAAGTCATCTCGTCTTGCTGGAGAGTCATGGAACATCTGCCAAAGAGCTCTGAGCACATCTCCCACCTTCCAGCCTGTTTCTGTCTCTCCAGCCTGAAAACTTGAATGCACAACATGCAAACCACAGCTTCCCAGACTGATCATCTTTAGTGAATCTGGGTCCTCTCGGCTCTTGTAATAGCCTCAGGAACTTCCAGTTAACAGGGAGACCATCCATTGAAATCTGTGAGAGTTTACTGGGATTAAGTGGTGACAGGGCTCTCTTTACTTTTTCCAGAAGCTTCTCTGCTTGAGTGTGTCCCATAAACTCTGAATCAAACTAATGTACCACAACCTCCCCTTCACATTCACTCCAACTGTTCTGTCTGTGTCACTTTATTTAAGCATTCATCAAAAGAAATCACATAGCACTGTGCTTCTCTTATATTTGTGATCAGTTGCTGTTAGAAATAAGGACCTAAACCAGAACATATGAGATAAGCAGACTTTGTTGCGCCACATGAAAACTGTTTGGCAGTCGCACTGTCCAGGAACATTTGTCTGAAAATCACTGAGACGTCAGAGCTAGAATTGAATGACCAATGTGACTGGACCATCTTGATTACTCAGTGAATCTCTGCTTCAGACACGGCTTGACTTGAAAAAAATGCTGAGCTTTCTTGTGTTTCTGTACTGGAGCCTTGCAGTGCTGTATTTCCATGACTGAGACGTTCAGTGGCTGTTGTTGGTTGTACAGTCACGTCCCTCTCCTGTGTCTTCTGAAGGAGCCCCCCTCATAAAACCTGTCATTTGTCTCTCATTCTTTAATTAATTAATTATAATCTTGATGTGGTCTTGCCCTCGTGCATGACTCTTTAGAGCTGACAAACCCATGTTGCCAACATCAAACGACTTTCTGCACAACTTGCAGTACACTCTTTGTGTATCTCCTGACACCTCTCCCAGCTCGGCCCTGAGCTGGGGGTCTTCATCCACTCACTTTT